GAGGGATAAGAAAGCGCCGTGTTTCCCACAGAAACGTCTCCCAGCCGGTGGAAGTGTCTCAAGAATTCTGAACTGGTTTAAAAAGTTGATGCATTCATGTAACTTTTGCAGGAAAAAAAAGTTTCTATACAGAAAATAGTTTTTTTCTTTGATTTTCACTTGAACAGAGACTTTAATTTCTAGACGGCATTCAGACATTTTGTTTTTGAACGATTGTTTTGGGGTTTAAATGTTCTTTGACAAACCGCTGATGTTCTGAAGCGATGGGATTATTTCAGACAGAAAACAGAGTGACGCTAGGTGACGTGAGCCCAGTGTTGTGCCTTGCTCGAAGGCGGGCATTGTGCACATGCTCTAACACTGGGCTACACAGTTTCACAGAATCTCACACATTTAGGACTTCAAAAACAAAAATGCAAACAGTTACTGTAGAATTAATGATTACTAAAGCTATCTAAAAGCTAATATAAGTAAAAGTAGCAATAGATTAGCTAAAAAGTAAAAAATGAAATTAATTTAGCAGAGCGCTAGCTTTTTTACTGATTAGCATTAGCATAGTTAGCTTTAGTAGTTTTAGCATTAGTATAATTAGTACAGTAGTCCTTTATTTGTCATGGGTGTTAGGTCCCCCCCCCCCCCCCCCCCCCCGCGCGATAAGTGAAAAACCACGATGTAGCAAAGGAATGCTATTTATTATAGTATTTATACCGTATATATTTTAAGGCTTTAGAAACTCTTCCCACACTCTTGCAATGTTCTAAGCTTTTAAACATACGTCATTTTAACAGCATACATGCAGTATATGTACTGTACAGTACTTTATGTGTAACTACTAAGTTTTACTTGCCGGTCTCTGCAGAACAGGAGCGGTTCGTTTGGTTTTCAGTCCGATTCTGTTCCGTTTCTGTAGACGTACCCTGCAGCAAGCCACAATCAATTGATGCTCTAAACTCTTAAACCAACTAATTTTAACAACATGGTTATATGTAGCTACTAAATTTTACTTACCAGCGTGTCCCCGCTCGGAGGTCCTCATCGGCCAGTTGAAAGAGATGAAAAAATTCCCGTTAATCTGCAGATGGATCACTGGATCATCGGCCGTGCGCGTCTGCTCTGAGGTCCACGTGGTTGGACTACCACCTCTCAAGATTCACCGATGGGTCTGGAGGTCTGGTTCTGCTCCTGTCCTGGTCTGGTTCGGTGGGCTCAGTGCGGCTTCTCTGCATCCGCTAGGTGCCGAGCAGATCAAAACTTTCCCTCTGGTTTTTTCAGCAGAAGGAAATGGGGCTTCTTGGTGGGGCCCTGTTGCCTTCTGGGAAATGTGGTCATTATGAGCAGGAATACAGTGGAGAATACTAAGAGAAAACTATAAAATGGTGGCGTCTGTTCGAAGCATTTTATTTTTGTCATTAACTTTTTCACAACCGCATGAGTACAGTACATACTGCACAGTCCACAATCGTGTGTAAAAAAATAAAATAATAGTAATTTTTGGTCCAATATTTTGGACATCCACAAACCGTGATAGAGCGAGTCCACGGAAGTTGAGCCGCGAAGTAGCGAGGGACTACTGTACATTAGTCAGAAATTAGTCTTTGCAGAATTAGCATTAGCAGTCAGTACTAGCATTAGCATTAGTAGTAGTAGTAGCAGAAAAATGATGAGGCAGATTTTAAACCGATCAATGTTTTTGAAGGATTTAAAGAGAGCTGTGTTTTTTTTTATTTAAACAGATTTTTAAAATAAAATATTTAGAAAAATATAAAATTTAACCGTCATAGCGTCCGTCTGCTGAACGAGCTCAAAGCTTTGATTGGAAGAAAACGAACCTTCAGACGACAGTGAAGATGCTGACTCTGCACTAACTCCGTTTTTCTGTTGGATTCAATTTAAACTGTGTCTTATTCTGAAGGTGGTCCTGTTTACTTCCTGTCTGTGGAACATGTTGTACTTCATCCTGTGGTGTAAAATGAAAACGTAAAGCGTGTGACAAACGACACATACTTTGACTGAACTGAGACTAAACCATAAGTCTGCCGCTCACAGGTGGATGATGTCATATTCCGTGCATGTGAGGTACAGGTGTGTGTGTCGGAGCCATATGTGAGTTATGCAGTGTGTGGGTTGTTGCTGGGTGAAAAGCTCTATAGCTAGGTCCCTCCCTCCCGGTCCAGTCGTTACCATGGGGACAGGAGGTAGCCATGTGTGAGGTTATTATGAGATGGGAACTGGCTGCTTCCTGTCGCACGCTGCAGTCGGATAAACGGCGACGTGAACCAGTCGCCTCGTCCTCTGCTGCTCGTTTCCATTTGTCGTCCTTCATCTGTTCTGTGTTCGGTCTGTCTCGTCTTCGTCAGGAGGGCAGTCCGTTTGTGTGCGCTTCAGCCAGGACGGAGCGCCGCGAGCTGGTGGACGAAACTCGTGGAACGTCGGGCTGATTTTCCTCGGGTTTCCAGACCCGATTGTTTACTGTGCGTGATCCGTAGTGTCAGTTTTATTGTTGTGTGTCGGTTTTTAATCTTTGGATCAGTTTGCAACAGCTGGTTTCATTGTGTGTCGTCTGTGTTTACACTTTTTATTCATTCATTCATCGTTGAATGACTTCTTTTTGCCGAAGCTTCTGAATGTCATGGTTTGAAAATGTTTCTGTTTGTGTTTTTCCGTCACGGTGTTTGTCGTCCTCATGATCGAGGCTGCGTTGAAGAGAATTTAAAGCTTTTACTCTCAGCACAATTAGCTCCGTACGACTGAGTTTCCACACGGGGAATAAAAATAAACGGTAATAAAAGACGTCATGCCAGTGGGTGGACAGAGATGACTCAAAACAGTTGTAACAATAAATGAAGCGATCGGTATCTGTTGACAACACTTGTAGATGCGTGTCGATGAATATTACTCCTCACCAGTGACCAAAAGAAGCGCCGTTAAAACTAAAATACAGACTTACAGTGCAGAAAGCTAAGAATCAAATATATATTTTGTTCAATACAGTAAAAGAGTAACTTTTAAAAAAGTTTTTAAACATTTGCAACTAAAAGAACTATTACACAGCTATTAAAAGAAAATTTAGATTTTGCCTAATCATTTTTTCACTCTTTCCCACTTATTAACGGTTTTAAAACAAGACCATGATCGTCCAAGACTAAATTTCAAATGCAAGTTATGAAACCAGTGGGTGACATCACGGTGGTTACGATGAAACTTCTCTTACAGTCTTGTGTGTTTGTTGAGTAAGAGCTCAGCGGCGGTTTGCAATTGAATTAGCAAACATTTTAGTGACCCATGCTGGCAAAATGAGTCTGAATTAACTGCCGTGCAAATAATTTAATTTAATTCAGTTTGTTCATGTAGCACAACAGAAGTCATCTCAGGGAAACATTCACATACTTTCTAAAAGCTAATCAGTAAAAGTTCTCTCTCTGAGGAAGCAGCGGATCGTGTTGAGTCGTCACTTCTTCACAGTCTCCCATTCTGAGCGAGCACAAAGGAGACGGTGGAAAGGAAAAACTCCTCTTGAACAGGAAGAAACGTCCAGCAGAACCAGGCTCGGAACAAACGGCTTCGACCGCCTCGAGTTTGAGAGGACAGGAAGTAGAAATGGACACAGAATGACAGGTCTGGGTGAATTTTCTATAGGAGGAAAGATGAAATAAAACATGTTAAGATAGAAATAATTACAAAAACAAGCCGGTAAAGTAAAGACAGCAGCAGAGAGAGGAAATGTTTTCAATTTGTCCTCCAGCAGTCTAAGTCTATAGCAGCACAAGTCAGGGGTAGCTCAGAAAACTCAAGCCAGCCCTAACTATAGGATTTACCAAAAATGAAAGACTTAAGTCTAATCTTAAAAGTAGACGACGCCTCGCGTACAGAAACTGGAAGTTGGTTCCACAAGAGAGGAGCCTGATAAGTGAAATATCTTCCTCCCATTCTGCTTTTGGAAACTCTAGGAACCACAAATAAACCTGCCTAATGACAGTATTTTTTTTTTTTTAGATTTGCATGAAAATGTGTTCAGAAAGACGCCAATGAGTACCGAGAAATAATGTCTTATTACCCTTAAAATTTCCTTTGAAGCTGATCGTTTCTCTGCTGGGAAATCCCTTTGTATAATGTTTGCTTGTGAAGCTTGGGGATTCCCATTTTAAAATACAGGCCTGGAATTCCCTATGACATCACTCCAGATCGATAAAAATCAGGTTTTTGAACCAGCATTCCTGTGAACAAAACGAGCTTGTGGTGATAAATCGACATTTCAACGAACTGCAGCTCGTTTAGGAGCTTTTGAGATGGACAGGTAGGATAAAAAACTTAATATTAAAATATTCCTCATCGTGACTCTTTGCCAGCACAGGTCACATGTGTCGTCTGTAGAGAAAGATGTGTTGTGACTTCGCATTGGTGGTTGATCTGAACTATTATAGGATGAAATATTAAGGGCAATGTAAGTCAACTAAGAAGTTTTTTAGTATTATTTTTATTCTACATCCTTCCAGGACACAACTGGTTTTAGTTTAATGGTGGTGCTGAGGCTGCTGGATGTTTGTCCGCCTCATCGGTGCAGCATGTCCAAAAGTTTCCTCGTCTCTCGATGCAATGACGCATTGATCTGCAGGCAGCGGTCTGTCTGTGCTCATCACACACATGTACACCGTAACACAGATGTGCAGTTGAGAAACGTGACCAACGATCAGGTGGTGTCAGGAAAATGTGTAGTTTGCCAAAGTAGCGTTCTTTCACTTCAGTACGTGGTTTGAGGAAAGAGTTGTTTTAGAAGCGGTGAAACAGCGATTAGCTCTTAGCCTAGCCTGGACACGTCACACTTCCTGTGTTGGAGATCACAGCTGATAAAACACAAACTATTTCACTTCAAAGATAACCAGATTATCCCTTTAATGTTTACTGGGACTCTCTTCCATTCCATTTATCTTGATGCTACGATTGAAACGTGTCAACTGCTCCTGGATTTTGTTTCTCTCCTTACCTGCGTGTGTTTGTGTCAGTTCTACCTGCAGGACACTAAAAGCAGCAACGGGACGTTCATCAACAGCCAGCGGCTGAGTCGCGGCTCCGAGGAGAGTCCGCCGTGTGAGGTCCTGTCTGGAGACATCATTCAGTTTGGCGTAGACGTCACCGAGAACACGCGCAAAGGTTTGTGCACAAATGGCTTTAAAACATGCACAGAAACCAAACTTCTCATGCACACCTATTTGTAACAAAGTGAAAAGATTAGTTTTGAGCTCACTGCACTGAAGTCGAACAGGAAAACGAGTGCAGCGCAAACACCGAGGGCCGTCCTGTGCACCGCTGAACCCACGGGCGTTCAACCTGCCGCAGGCCTCGTTCAGACCGGACTCAGTTTAACCGGTGAACATCACTGTTTCACCAGAAGTTAAAATAAATCTCCTTTTTACAGCAGTGGTTATGATTTTATTTTTACTAACGTCTGAGTAAACAGCAACCATTTTTATTGGTTAATGAGTTTGGCTTTTTGAGTTATTTCGTCTTTTTTGCACGACTTTATATTTTGTTTTGACATTTCTTTTTGTTTTTTTAATTGTTTTATTTATTTTTTGTCTTTGCTTTAAATTTTTAATGGATTACTTTGGTCAGTTTCGGCTTTAAACATGGTTTAAAATAGAGTTGCTTTAATTTGAACAAATTATATATTTTTTAAAACATCAATCACATTTTAAACTTTTGTAAAATCCAAGTAAAATTTTAAATAATAATCAAAGGAAAAACTAAATAACAGATTATTCTGTCTTTCCATAACTTAATGATGTCAAAGTTCAGGGATCCCTTATTTTGTCTGTTATACACAGACATGATTACTCTGTGCTCTACGTGTACTTTAATTACTACTTTAATTTAAACGGCTGATACTGCCACAAGGATATCATGAAAAATATTAGCAGACTTTATACAGAGACTTGCATGATAAAAAGTAAAAAATTGATGAACTCAAAGGTACTTTTGGGGGAATTTTGAGTTGAATTTGCAGGATTGCTCTAGAGCTGTGACTGGTTGAATTACCATAAAGGGCAGAAAAAAGATGCTGTCCAAACATAGTGTTCACTAATGGTGGTTAATGGTAGAAGAGCAACGGAGCTGCTGACGGACGGGAACACATGAGAACAAAAAGAAGGAACGTTCCTCTGCTTCCATCTGTGCCAGATTATTAAACTTATAAATTAATCCGTAGTTACAGCACAGCCATCGTCTTTAGGATTGTGATGTATGGCAGCCACCCCTCCCCAAAATACTCCCCCACGTGTAGAATCCTGTTCCTTTAAAAACGCAGACGTTGAAAGCAGCTTACTGCTCTGAGGAGAAAGTTATCCACCCTCACGCTACAAAAGCTATAATTACAGCAAGTGTGAGAGTTTTAAAAGTGTCTCGGCAAGAACAAACCTGCATCAGAGACTGAAGTTTAAATTCTGTCTGCAGTTTATGAATCCTTCTATGATTGATGGTTAAATGTTTTCATCAGGGCCTCTTGATTCATTAGGACTAATATGCAGAAACTAGAAAGTTCCTGGAGAAACTTTGACGGGGACTGGCTATTTATTATTAAATTATTATTAATAATAAATATTATTCATAATTAATAATAATAATTATTATTACTATATCGTTGATTTATTAATTATTATAAACTTTATATAATTGATAATAATATTGATATTAATTAGTAATATTAAATATAAATTATTAATGCTATTATTTTTAATAATTAAAATAAATCATTAATAATTCATGTTAATTATTTTTACTAATTAATAATAATAATAGGTGCCTTCCATGCATGTTGAACCAAAATGGCTCCCGATGTTACTCAGTTTCTTTGAAAAGTTTTCTCCTATTCATTTCCTATGGGAATTTTGTCATTTTCGTTAGCAAAATATGTCGCCATGGTAACATCAACTGCCAATGAAAGTAATAGCAGACATCTCGGAGCCGGGCCGGTCGTTTGGATATAACTTTTGTGGGGGTCCACTTTGCGGTTGGGGCCGCATTAAAGTTAAGAAAGATACGCTTTTCAGGTGTAGAATAATAAGTGGGCAGTCACCAACTAGTTCCTGGAGTTGGTGAAATATTGCGTCTTTGTTCGCAAATTGCGTCGCCATGGTAACTTGAAATGCCAATAAAAGTAATAGCACACATCAGGGGGCCGAGCCAGTCGTTTTGATATAACTTTTGTGGGGGGAGACATTTTGGTTCGGGCCACATTAACGGAGATAGAAATGTAGACTCACTTCCGAGGTGTAGAATAATAGGTGCCTGGCAGTCCCCAATAAGTCTTAACAAATGATGTGCACGCGTGTCCAACATTCAAGGAAGCGTTGTTCTTTATTCACTGTTATTTATTTGTGTCTTCAGTCACACATGGCTGCATCGTGTCAACAATCAAACTCTTCCTACCTGATGGGATGGAGGCCCGCCGGAGAAGCGAGTAAGTCTTTATTCTGTTACTTTCAAAAAATACGGACACAACTTGAATGTTTAGGCTGAACTGTAATGAAGCGAAACCTCAGAGACTAGATGGGTTTGTGTAACTTAAATAACTGGATGTTTTAATGCGATTGGTTGTTTTTAGACGCAAAAGGAACATTTGTATTTGGACTGATGGGACTGTCTTGTTGATTAAGAGCCTTTCAGTTGGCAGGCAGAGTAACTGCTGCGTTCGTCCGATTCGTTAGGATTTAACACCAACAGTTGGTGAGGCAGCGTTGAGTGTCCACGCAGTGTTTGTACAGTGAGATGGGCCAGCAGCTCACCCAGCGTGCAGCTTCCTACTGTACTCAGATGTCCACCTGTCTGTCTCTTTGTTGCTGGCTGCTGCTGGTGCCATGTGTGACCCAACGGTGCGCTGCTGTGGGCTGCAGTGCCATCTGCTGCACCAGCGATCGGCTTTCATGGTGGAAGTGCAGACGGTCCTGCAAATGTTTGAACTGAAACCTTTTCAGGTAGAAAGTACCTATCATAAAAAATGTGTTTAAATAATGAAGAGCTCTTATTCATACGCCGGTCAGTTTTCTGCAACACCGCTGTGAGAAGTGTAGTACTGGACCAAAGTACTGGATTCTGTTTTATGTATGCAGTCAGAGTTTTGTACAAAAACAACCTTTAAGCAGGTATCAGGGCTGTGAACGCAGGCTACTGGTTGACTAGTTGCCAACTGGTCTCCAACTGTTGCAGGTTAATCTTTAGGAATGATTACTTGTCCGCTGAATGTCTCAAATCCTTCGCAGGTTCTCGGTTTCCTTGTGTTGGTCACAAAGACTACTGGAGGTTTTGGAGGGAAGGTTGTCCCATTCTTGTCTGATGGAGGATTCCAGCTGTTCAACAGTCTTTACTGGATTTGTTGTTTCACAATGCACCAAATGTAACTGGTGAGAGGTGTGGACTGCAGGCAGACCAGTTCAGCACCCGAGCTCTCCTTCTATGATGTCGTGTTGTAATTCATGTAGGATGCAGTTTAGCGTTGCCTTGCTGAAATATGCAAGGCCTTCCCTGACAAAGACGTTTAGATGAGAGCAGATGTTCTAAAACCTGTTTCTACTGTTCTGCGTTGATGGTTCCTTTCCAGATGTGTAAGATGCCCATGTAGAGGCACTAATGAACCCCCATACCATCAGAGAGGCAGGCTTTTGAATTTTTTTTGCTGATAATAGGCTGGTCCCTCTAGAGCAGGGGTGTCAAACTCACTTACAAAAGGGGGCCAAAATTAATATCTTTTTCAAGCTAAGGGCCAATTTCAGAAACGACATCAACTCAAATCAGAAACCAAACATCTTCTTTTGGTCACAGTTTCCTCAACAAGAGTTTGACTGGTCTCATTTGATGGTCACTGTTTTGCTTTCGACATCATAATCAAAGATTACTGAAAAAAATCAATAGATAGAAGTACTTTATGTTTCATTTATCATCTTGAGGGCCAGATAAGATATCAACAAGGGCCACATTTGGCCCCTGGGCCTTGAGTTTGACACATATGCTCTAGAGGACGTGACGTTTGAGGTTTCAGTTTCAATTCAGTTTATTTATTTAGTGCCAAGTCACAACAGAAGTCGTATTAGGGCACTGAACAGAAACATTCTTATATAAAAATAATAAATTTACACAGTTTTTCTGAAGAGCAGATTGCTTTGAAATTAACTCCATCCAAAAAGATGTTCAGAGTTGGATTTGACTGTTAGTTCTCCACATGACCTCAGTCTATTTTACAGGTCTTTCTTATAAATAAGACTGGTCTTATGAGATTACCTGTCTAAATGAAAGTTAATCAATAACAGGGCCGGCAATGGAGGAGGGGGCGTGCCAAAAACACCATATTGGCACCAACATAACTGGTTTGTTCCACTTTGGAGTAAGCTGTTGGGGGAAGAATCAGTTTTGTTGTGTGTTTCCTTGACTGATGAAGTCTTCTGGATGGAAGGTGAAACATTTCAGCACTAAAAAAGAAACTGTCCAGATGACCTGACTGAAAAGTGTTAGATTGTATACCTGGATTATTGAGCATGGACATTGTTGTTAATCAATAACAGTTTTAACAAATTGGTCCTGTTAGGCCTGTCACAATTACAAATTTTGCTGGGCGATTAATTTTCTCAGAAATTATTGCAATAAACGATAATATTGTTTGAAATTTGACATTGGTAATTCTTGTCAAATTTAAGAAGAAAAGCAGGTTAATTTCTGTGTAGTACCTTTTTTGACCACTGGATGGCAGTATAAGAACGTTTAAACTGAAGGATTCATGATTGTGAGGGAGCGAGCAGCGTCTCTTTTTTTTAAGAAAAATGGGAGGGAGGCCCCTTGACGTGACATGGGCTGTGTCTCGTTCTTGTTTTTTGGTTTTTAAAATGGTGGACGCTCGGAATGTTTTGAGCTCTTTAGCATTTTTCACACAAAGCTTTTAATTTAAAAAAGCAGTGAACAAGTTCTCAGCTTCTTTTTGCAAAGAAAAACAACTTTTTACACGAAGGCACCGGTTTCAACTGTGAATGTTGGAGCTTCGACAAGACGGAGGTTTTGTCCCGATGTCGGCCTGTTAGCTTAGCTCGTAGCTTAGCTTCTCAGCTTAGCTGCATTTAACAATCCAAAAACGCGATTTTGGACATTTAAAACAGATTTTAAAGAGAAAAGAGAAAGGGAGGGGTCAGTTGAGCCTTTTGTCATCCAGTGTCTTCAGTAGAAAGAGAGAGACGGGAAGAAACGATAAAGCTGATAAACGAAAACGAGGTCGATAATTTTCATTCATCATGCGATTAATTGATTTATTGTTTATTGCAACAGGCCCAGGTCCAGTTTACTCCCACAGACCAAAAACATGCATGTTAGGCTGATTGAAAACTCTAAATTGTCCCTATGTGAGAGTGACTGTTTGTCTCATTTGCCTCCATGTGTCCCTGTGATGAACTGGAGACCTGTCCAGGGTGTCCCCTGCCTCTCACACAGTGATCGCTGGATATGGACACAAGTGACCCCTGTGACCCGAAAAGGAAGAAGCAGGTAAAGATAATGGATGGAGGGTCGGACGGTACTGCAACCATGACGTCCGTCCATTATCTTTACCACTTCTTGCCTTTGGGGTCACTGGTGCCCAAAATGCCCATATCCAGCTATCACTGTGCGAGAGGTGGGGGGAAAGCTCTTCCTCCCATTCTGCTTCTGGAAACTTTAGGAACCACAAATGAGCCTGCAGTCCGAGAGCAAAGTGCTCTGTTAGGAAAATATGGAACAACAAGATCTGTATTATAAGATGGAGCTAGGTTGTTGAGAGCTTTGTAGGTTAGAAGTAAAATTTTGAATTCAATTCTGGACTTGACAGGGAGTCAGTAGAGAGAAGCTAAAACTGGAGAGAGATGATCTCTCCCACTAACTCCAGTTGAGACTCTGGCAGCAACATTTTGGATCAACTGAAGACTTTTTAAAGACGTGTTTGGACACCCAGATAATAAACTATAGCCCAGTTTAGACATGACAAATGCATGAACCAGTTTTTCTGCATAATTTTTAGATATGTTTCTAATTTTAGCAATATTACGCAGGTGGAAAATACATAACTATATATATATATATATATATATATATATATATATATATATATATATAAGCAATAAAAACCTTTTAAGGTGGAAGACATTCTACTCTGGGACAAATGTACCAACAAGTCTCTCTTAACCACATTTTACAACTACTTCCTTTCGTTGGCCAAATTTTAGGAAATGGACATTTTGTGTTGTTAAAGTTTATAGTACGGTTTCTTTCTTACAAATGGCAGATTAATGCTCAGCGTAAGAAATAAATGTCCAATAGACAAAAGTTTCACCTGAGAACCTAAATGAGAAGAAGAAGCTGGCTGACTGCTGCATTCCTCAAATATTGTGAAACGCTGAACTTTTGTCAGCTTTTAGTTTTAAACGTCCGAGTCTGAACTCCCTCACTCCTTTTAGATCGACATATTAAAAAGAAGAAACTTTGTGAACAAACTATTCTGCTAGCTTCTATTAAAAATAAAAACACCTGCTGTTCTGTGCCCCGACGGGTTTGGACAGAAAGTTGTTTAAATGCGCAGCAGCACTTTTTTTGCCTTCATGGTTTTGTGTAAAATAATTAAGATTGTACAATAAACAGTGAAAAATATTTTAGGAAAATACCCATTTGAGGCTAATTAAAGTAAATGCTGGTAAGTTCTTGTTCCTCTTATCAGCAGGTAAAATAAGGCCCCAGTGAAACCACATCCAGATTTGAACCCTCAGTCGTTGTTTTGAGACTTCTGATTTCATTATCACAGTTATCACATTTCCTCCCAACATTTCCACGTACCTGAGGTCATGTGATTAACAGGAAGTTTCAGGTGAGCAGAGCTTCTAGTTTTAAAATCATTCTGAGAGGTTTGAGTTGATTATGAAGGAGGTGCTTCTTATCTCACCTCAACCTTGGAAGAAGCCAACGCTCCTTGTGAAAACAAAGATTAGTTTGTTGGCAGTTCGATCCAGGAGGGTGGAGCGACTGTAACTTACACAAGTTGAAGGCAGATAGCGTTCTGCTTTGCTCAGCAGGGGGGAGGAGTAAACTTTAAAGCAAGAGACGGTTTGTGTTGTGGAATAACCACAAACGCTCTGCGGGGAGAAAATCAGCTGCTCGCTCCGTTCCAGTGAGAAAAATGAAGTTAAAGGGAAGAGTTGGTGTTTATCTCTGCTGCAACAGGCTCAGGTAGAAGGGCTGCAGGTCGAACGTTGCCCTGCGGAGAAAGAAGAACTTGCTGACTCACACGAGAACACCTGACAGGTAACCAGCTTTGACTCCTGCTCTTTGTCACGGCTCTAAACTGAAGCAGACGGATTGAGAACTGCACCTCCTGAACTTGTCTGACCGATCCGCTTCCTGTGATTCATGGGTTTTACACTCTGAAGTGTTTTATTTAGTGTTTGTTTTGCGCAGTGTTTGTTGAAATGTGCGGTTTATTTCAGCTTTTATGGCTTCACAATAAAAGGCTTGTTCTGCCTGACAGAAATGGCTTTAAGGAGTTTATATTTTTTAGAAAACTGATCACTGAAACATTTGCCCGTTAGTGACAAAACAATCCTAAAGTTCAGGTATTACCATTAAATGTTTATTTTTGTTATTATTAATAAATGTTGTACTTCAACTATGTGATCTACAGGTATTTCCAGTTTCAGGAAAGTTGTTTAGGTGTTGAGATTAAAACAGAATAAAATATAAATATTATTAACGGACAAAAGTCGAAACGTTGAAAATCGAAGTTGTCTTTAAGGAAGCGAGCCCCGCGCTCCTAAACCCGCCTGTTTGTGTCGTTTGTTGTTATTATTGTGTTTGATGGGTGACTGTAAAATATCAGCCGTATTTTAGCTGAATCTGTGATTTATTACTTCTGTTGATTGTGAAGGCGCAGAACTTGTTTTAAATCCTTCAAATCAAAACGCACCAAGAGTTGAAGTTCATGAAAATTACTTATAGTTCAATAAAACAAATGCCAGCAGCGTGTGACTCTTATTGTGAAGGACTGAAACAAGTTCTGTGAGCTCGTTGCCGTCGGAGCAATAAACCACACCTCGGACTGGTTCCACTGAAATACTGCAGCTTCCTTTGTTAAAGTGGACCCAGAACCAATAAATAAAACGAGAACAGTCGGGTTCAGCTCTTCTTTCTGTCAATATTCACACTTTAATCTTAAAATTTACACATTAATCTGAAAACTTCACGACTAAAAGGCAAACTTCCTGCTCTGCCTCGTTCTAATGGTCTGTCGTACACGAAGCGCTTCACTTGGATTAAAAAAACTACAAACTGGAGTAAACTTCAAGGTTTTTGGGTCAACTCGTAACAGAAATGGATCAGACGTTAGTACTTTTTGTTGCCTTATAACCAGCTGTACGCAGAACGGATTGAGAAGTTCAAGCCTGAGCTGCTGTGAGGTTGTAGAACTGATGTAGCAGCAGAACCATCCGGCCCACATGGAAAGTTCTGCCGGTGTTCTCCTGACTGCATGCAAAACAGTCCAACAGGCCAGATCAGATGTGGATGACTGGTTTCTGTGGGCTGGCTGTTGGTGCAGCACACCTGATGTGATGTGACGCCGTGGATTCAGTGCTTGTCGTTTCAAAATAAAACCAGAGTGTTGTGTTGGAGCGCTGCTGCTGCCGTCATCTCTACTTTAAGTTAACGAGCCGTTTTGATTCAGAAATGTTCATCTGAAGCTTCAACCTTCAGTTTTCACCTCGTTATCTGTTGTGGTCGTTCAGGTTCATTAGGTGTGTGTGTTTGTACTGTTAACAAAATATTTCATGCGTCACTGAACAGATTTTATTGAAACTTTCAGCCACAGCAAAAGCACAAAGACGATGAAACTGGTTTTAAACGCCCGTTGAGAGACGGAAGTATTATGGTTTGGTCTTCGTACGCTCTTAAACTTAATCTGCTCAAGATAATTTACCAAAACTTACACACATGCATCATCACTAGACGGAGTGTCACGTGCACTTTTCATCACCCCAGCTCTAAGGTCAAGGGCTTGTCTGGGCTGTTGCTATAAGCCGTGTAATAGTTTGTCGATGGACGTATAATGTGCTTTCGTTCAGATGTAGATCTAAAATTTGATGTCGTAGCTGAGAGTCATGCACACAGTGCGACATCTCACAATATTCAGTGAGTTGAGCATAAAGGCCTGGAAACGGCTGCAATGATCATTTTTTAAAATAAGGCGAGCTTAATATCCTGATGCATGCTCAATAATCCGAGCTTAAGACTAAACTCTGGCCTGAAAGGCAGCGGGCGATATGCATTCCCTCTAGAAATGATGAGTCTTTATTGTTTTAGAATAGAAATGACCTTTATTGTCCCTCGGTGGGGGAGTTGAAGGTTTACCAGCAGCAAAGTGACAAACTGAAGCAGATACACACAAAGGTGAAAATACAGGTGCTGGTCATAAAATTCAGAATATCATGAAAAAGTTGATTTATTTCAGTAATTCCATTCAGAAAGTGAAACTTGTATATTATATTCATTCACTACACACAGACTGATATATTTCAAATGTTTATTTCTTTTAATGTTGATGATTATAACTGACAACTAATGAAAACCCCTAATTCACTATCAGAAAATTAGAATATTGTGAAAAGGTTCAACATTGAAGACACCTGGTGCCACACTCTAATCAGCTAATTAACTCAAAACACCTGCAAAGGCCTTTAAATGGTCTCAGTCTAGTTCTGTAGCTACTCAATCATGTGGAAGACTGCTGACTGGACAGTTGTCCAAAAGACGACCATTGACACCTTGCCCAAGAGGGCAAGACCCAAAGGGTCATTGCTAAAGAGGCTGGCTGTTCATAGAGCTCAGTGTCCAAGCGCATTAATGGAGAGACGAAGGGAAGGAAAAGATGTGGTAGAAAAAAGTGTACACGCAATAAGGGATAACCGCACCCTGGAGAGGATTATGAAACAAAACCCATTCCAAAATGTGGGGGAGATTCACACAGAGTGGACTGTAGCTGGAGTCAGTGCTTCAAGAACCACCATGCACAGACGTATGCAAGACACGGGTTCCAGCTGTCTCATTCCTTGTTTGAAGCCACTCTTGAACAAGAGACAGCGTCAGAAGCGTCTCGCCTGGGACTGCTGCTGAGTGGTCCAAAGTTATGTTCTCTGATGAAAGTAAATTTTACATTTCCTTTGTAAATCAAGGTCCCAGAGTCTGGAGGAAGAGGAGAGGCACAGAATCCACGTTGCTTGAGGTCCAGTGTCAAGTTTCCACAGTCAGTGATGGTTTGGGGGGCCATGTCATCTGCTGGTGTTGGTCCACTGTGTTTTCTGAGGTCCAAGGTCAACGCGGCATCTACCAGGAAGTTTTAGAGCATGTCATGCTTCCTGCTGCTGACCAACTAGGACTTGGCATTTGCACACAGTCCCAGAGCTACCAGTACCTGGTTTAAGGACCATGGTATCCCTGTTCTTTACTGGCCAGCAAACTCGTCTGACCATAACCCCAAAGAAAATCTATGGAGTGTTGTGAAGAGGAAGATGTGCCAGACCCAACAATTCAGAAGAGCTGAAGGCCACGATCAGAGCAACCTGGACTCTCAGAACACCTGAGCTGAGCCACAGACTGATCCACTCCATGCCACGTGTTGCTGCAGTAATCCAGACAAAAGGAGCAACAACTAAGTACTGAGTGATGTACACGCTCATACTTTCCAGTTGGACAACATCTCTAAAAATCCTTTTTTTTTTAATTGGTCTTAATATTCTAATTTTCTGAGATAATGAATTTGGTGTTTTCATTAGTTGTTGGTTATAATCATCAACATTAAAAGAAATAAACATTTGAAATGTATCAGTCTCTGTGTAATGAATGAATATAATATACAAGTTTCACTTTCTGAATGGAATTACTGAAATAAATCAACTTTTTCATGATGTTCTATTTTTATGACCAACACCTGTACTTATATTTATCTAAACAAAGTATGAATAAGAGACTGTACATTAAGGACAATATGTAATCATTTTAAAGTAATCAACGATTGTTTATATATAAAGTATCCTTGAGGTCAATATGTCACTAATAAAATGCTCAGTCTTTGTGTGTTGTCTGAACGTTGCTCGTTTGTTTGATCTGTGCCTTGTACTGTTTCTGGTGTCAACACGAGCTGCTCTTTGTCTCGTCCTCCACAGGTCAGAGTGCAGATCCTCCATCAACTGGATAGACTTTGATGCCGTTTGTTCCTAGTTATGGCTCTGATTTCTATCTCGGCACAAAGATTGCACAACCATAGATTCACGGAGTTGATTCAGCACTTTTACGAACAGGCCCGAGGCTTTTCTGTAGCAGTGAGCCGTCGCGTTCATCGCTGCACTTCACTGAGAACCTGTCCAGCTCGATCACCGGTCGTCTTTTTGATGCTTCCTCACTTCAAACAACGGATCAGACTCGGCGTCCACCGGGGTCGTTGTCTCGTCTTTATCAGCCACTAGTTCCTCGGTGTGCTTCTTCTAAAAGTATCAAGTCGGAGAATAAATGACGAGTTTCCGTTTTTATCGGGCTGTGATTTGCTTAAATATATAGAAAACTTTTATTAAAATAGGATTGTTTTTGATGTTCTAACGTGTTCGCCCGGGCGAGCATTACGGCACAACAGCTGTAGTGTCATTTTAAAACGGCTGCACAACATCTGTAACAATGTCATTTTAAAACAAAGTTCTTGCCAAAGGAAGAGTAAGAAATGTCACAGGACCGTCAGAAGGTTTTCTTTTGTCGCCACGGTCTTTACCTCCTGCTGTTTCCATGGTAACGGACTGTTTTCTCTCCTCTTTTCCACTCAGTGTCATCCAGGCGCCGTTACCACTTCCTATAGACAAGGTAAGACCAGAAGAGCGCTTTGCGTGTGTGGTCCTGTCCATTACGTGCACGGGGATGGTTTTGTTGAGCAGATGATGTTTGTGTTTTAGTTAATTTATTACACACACGCGCTGTTTGCTCACACACACACTGAGTTAGTCATCTGAGAGAGGAATGCTCGGGATAATGCCGGTTAGAGCTGCAGAACTACACAAAGCCTTCTTGTGGATTAAGTGACGTTTGTTCTTTCCCTCGTTCTGTGAGTTTTATTCTTTTGTCTGTGTCTAAAGTTAAAAACATTTGTTTTTTTCTAAAGAGCAGAATAAAATAAAAAGATGAAGTTGATTTAACTTCTGCTGCTTACAAGAACATTTTGTAGCAGTTCAGACTAGCTAAATGATTTGATGTGCGTACGGTTTGTTTTAGCTTTAAATGCTCTTTTGTTCAAACTTATAATTAAAATATTACTATTTATGCACATAATTGTCTAATAAAACTTAATTCTAATAATTATTTAAAAAAAATAGGCAAATAATGAATCTAAAGTTTCATCACAATTGATTAAAAAGGCGAGTTTAAGGGGCGGCTGTGGCTCAGTGGTTAAAGCAGTCGCCCCCTAATGGGAGAGTTTGGGGTTCGATTCCTCCAGCAGTCACATGCTGAAGTGTCCCTGGGCAAGACACTGAAGCCCTCACTGCCTCCGATGTGCGTCCCATCAGTGGATGAATGTGATAAAGCTCTGATTAGTTTTTGTACAGATCTAGTAGAGTGCTGTATGAATGGGTAAATGAGGGCACAAGTTGTTGGAAAGAGCTTTGAGCAACATAAGTACAGTCCGTACATCAAAGGTTCTCATTGCAAATTATGAAATAAAACATAAAAACAGTATCAGAAATATATCGAATGGTGCAGTTTGAGTTTAATCGAGGCGTTATCTGATTTTATTGATATGCAATTCTGAACTGCAGGTCCGCACTAAATGTAAACAAAGCCGCCGTACACCAGGTGTAAACCTGAGTCATGTGACTGAGCAGACATGGTGGAGTCAGAATCTCTGCAGATGTTTTTTTTTTAAGAGTGAGTGCTGCTAAATCTGAAACAACAGAAAGACGCCTGACGAGGATAAATGAAGCAGACAGAGCTCTGCACTCAAACTGCTGCGAGACCAAAGTACCTGTTTCAACCTGCTGACAAATCTGAGTATGAATGTGTACAAATACATCAAGACTTCATGTCAGTCGGTTACACTTTTTTTCAAATTAAGGACACATTAACTGATGATATGAGGAAAGTAAAAAGTACAGATTCATTTTTTTACGCTCTGTTTTTCTTTTGCTCGTCTTCATGAAATTTAAAAGGACCGTCTTTAAGAACAGACGCCGTTCAACAGATATTTGTTTATAGTCCTGGTCTCGTACTTTAATGTTTGGGGCCTCTCCCCTGCATGTTTGAGACGTTTCTGCTTTAACTCTCCTGATGTAAAACCATGAGTGCTTTACTGTTGGAATAAAGCGATTTAGAGCGGAGGAGGTCGTTCAGTGCTTCAGATATTTGGAGCAGGGAAACAAAACTTGTCGTCCTCAGCTTGATGTTCCCCGTCTCTGTTGGTGCAGTCACACCTTCAAAGCATGAATTAATAGAAAATAATAAAATAATGATTCCTCAAGGCGAAGACACGGTCCATAAACAGTAACATTTAACAAGTAAGGACCGATTTTTTTCTGTTTATTAGTAGTTACTCCAGAAACGTCTGTAAGTGGACATTATTAATTTTAATTGTTTTTAAATACAGGAAGGTTTTCTGTGCTGAAATACAAACCGGATTCCAAAAAAGTTGGGACACTAAACAAATTGTGAATAAAAACTGAATGCAATGATGTGGAGATGGCAAATGTCAATATTTTATTCGTAATATAACATAGATGATAGATCAAAAGTTTAATCTGAGTAAATGTAACATTTTAAAGGAAAAATATGTTGATTCAAAATTTCACAGTGTCAACAAATCCCAAAAAAGTTGGGACAAGTAGCAATAAGTGTCTGGAAAAAGGAAATTGAGCACATAACGAACAGCTGGAAGACCAATTAACACTAATTAGGTCAATTGACGACATGATTGGGTATAAAAAGAGCTTCTCAGAGTGTCAGTGTCTCTCAGAAGCCAAGATGGTAAGAGGATCACCAATTCCACCATTGTTGCGCAGAAAGATAGTGCTGCAATACCAGAATGGTGTTACCCAGCGTAAAATAGCAAAGACTTTTAAGTTATCATCATCAACCGTGCATAACATCATCAAAAGATTCAGAGAATCTGGAACAATCGCTGTGCGTAAGGGTCAAGGCCGTAAAACTCTACTGGATGCTCGTGATCTCCGGGCCCTTAAACGTCACTGCACCTCAAACAGGAATGCCACTGTCAAGGAAATAACAGAATGGGCTCAGGAATACTTCCAGAAAGCATTGTCAGTGAACACAATCCACCGTGCCATCCGCCGTTGCCAGCTGAAACTCTACAGTGCAAAGAGGAAGCCATTTCCAAGCAAGCTCCACAAGCCCAGACGTTTGCACTGGGCCAGGGGTCATTTAAAATGGAGTGTGGCAAAATGGAAGACTGTTCTGTGGTCAGATGAGTCACGATTTGAAGTTCTTTATGGAACACTGGGACGCCATGTCATCTGGACCAGAGAGGACAAGGATAGCCCAAGTTGTTATCAACGCTCCGTTCAGAAGTCTGCATCACTGATGGTATGGGGTTGCATGAGCACTTGTGGCATGGGCAGCTTGCATGTCTGGAAAGGCACCATTAATGCAGAGAACTATGTTCAGGTTCTAAAACAACATATGCTCCCGTCTAGACGTCATCTCTTTCAGGGAAGACCCTGCATTTTTCAACACGATAATGCCAGACCACATTCTGCAGCAATCACAACATCATGGCTACGTAGGAGAAGGATCCGGGTACTGAAAGGGCCAGCCTGCAGTCCAGATCTTTCACCTATAGAGAACATTTGGTGCATCATAAAGAGGAAGGTGCGACAAAGAAGGCCCAAGACGATTGAACAGTTAGAGGCCTGTATTAGACATGAATGGGAGAGCATTCCTATTTCTAAACTGGAGAAACTGGTCTCCTCTGTCCCCAGACGTCTGTTGAGTGTTGGAAGAAGAAGGGGGGATGCCACACAGTGGGAAAAATGGACTTGTCCCAACTTTTTGGGGATTTGTTGACGCCATGAAATTTGGAAACAACAGATTTTTCCCTTAAAACGATACATTCTCTCAGTTTAAACTTTTGTTCTGTGATTTGTGTTCTATTCTGAATAAAATATTAGATGTTGGCACCTCCACATCATTGCATTCAGTTTTTATTCACAATTTGTTTAGTGTCCCAACTTTTTTGGAATCCGGTTTGTAAATGCTCAAAATGTCTCAGACGTACTGATTGTTTGTAAAAATCCCAACTCGCTGGTCTTTCCTGTTCTGAAACGCTTCTGTAATTTTCCTCCACTTGTTTGGTCTATCTCATCCCACGTGGAAAGATAAATAATAAAGACAGTACTCATTTCCTCTGCATTCTTTGGTTTCTGATGATACAAGAAGTCCGTCGGGCTGTTTACATTCTTTGCTCGATGGTTTGTCTGCAGAACTTATCGTTTCCTTATCACTCAGGTAACACGGCCTTTCTTTGATATTTCATTGTCTGCCGTGTTAATCTGTCCGGAGACGTTTGGCTGGACCAGAGAGGTAGTGGCTTCAGATTAACGGCAGCACTGTCTCAAAATTACAACGTAAACCAAGTTTAAATGATTAAAAAATACATTTTAAATCAAATAAACCTGTGAAAATAAATAAAAACCTCACATTATCTTGATTAGAACCCGAAGACAAAGATCGAACACAGATTTTAAAGTAGAGAAAACAAAAAGTTCTGCATAACATGTTTGTTAAAATATTACTGTTATCACTTGAACAAATAAAATGACCATATGGTTATTTCACTTGAACTTTCTGACTTAATAAGTTTTCTTCACAGTGATAAGAGTCGGTCAGCGTCCGTTTGTTATAATTAAAAGTGTTCAACTGGTAGATCTGTGTCAAATAATGAAAAGTATTTCTGGGCTACTTTACACTAAAGTACACTCAGTACTCCGCTCCAAGTATTCTGTTGTAAAGTGTTTGAAATCAGTGAAGCGCCACACTCACTAGTTTTTCTGCACGACTCCATAAGTGTCATGGTGCCAGAATAAATAGTTCATTGTGCGTCGCACAACAACGAAGCGCGTTTCGTCCTCCGCAGAGGGAACAGCGGGGCTTCAGTGCAGCTCGTTTCAGGAATGCGGGCCGATGTGCGAGCGCGTTCGACACGAGCGCGATTAGATTTGATCCACGTCTCTGATGTAATTAAAGTTCCTAAACAGAGGATTGTTGCTCCTCTCAGGTCGCACATCTCGCTTCACTTAAAGACCCAGAAAGTCACGTTTTTTGTTTTTTTTCCAGTTGCGACGTTCAAACCCTCGACTCCGGCTCGGAGAAGAGCGGAGATCAGGAATGATTAAAATGAGACGGAGTTGAAAAATAAAATGAGCACAACCCCTAATGAATTTTATTTTTCTTAGTTTTCTTTATAGAAACTGGAAATCCAGTTAATTCATACGATTTTAAACCTAACTGCATTTATTAACATTGTCAGATTTTTATTTTTGCATTCCACTGACACATTATTATTATTTTTATTGATCAGTTAACCGTTAAAAATATCATCCTGCACTGGAAAGACATCAACACACTGACGTTCAGTCCAAACTAAAGTGTAATTCTTTAAAATCTCTTTAGGAGAGTTTAAAGCTTAACTCGGGCTTGTTTGTTGTTTGTTTGTTGTTTGTTGTTTGTTTGTTGTTTGCAGAGGTGGGAGGAATACTGTAAAGTTGTACTCGAGTACAAGTACTGTCACACTGCTTAAATTGCACTTCATTACATGTAAAAAATTACTGGTGTTATAAAAAATACTCAAGTAAAAGTATTCTTCTCAAAAACTACTCTGAGTATTAATTACTTTTTAACCACTTGATTTTTTTTATTGTTTTGTCAATAGAAGGCATTCAGTTGGTTTTACTGTATTTAGGCCTGTCATGATAAGTTGCTGGGCGAGTAATTGTCTCAAAAATTACTGAGATAAACGATAATATTGTTTGAAATTTGACAATACTGAGTACTTACTGTGGCCCTGTGATGGACTGGCGACCCGTCCAGGGTGTACCCCGCCCCTCGCACAGTGATTGCTGGACATGGGCACCAGCGACCCCTGTGACCCAAAATGGAAGAAGCGAGTAAAAGATGATGGATGGATGGATGGATGGAGTACTTACTGTCAAATTTAAGAAGAAATTTTAATTTGTTTTGTGTGTAGTACCGTTTTTCGACCACCAGACGGCAGTATAAGACTGTTTGTACCGAAGGATGGATAGTGAGGGAGCGAGCAGCGTGTCTCTTTAGGAAAAGTGGGAGGGAGGCGCTTTAAAGCTTTGAAAGACGGAGGTTTTCTTCCCGATGTCGGCCTCTTAGCTTAGCTTGTAGCTTAGCTTCTCAGCTTAGCTGCTTTTACCGATTCACAAACGCGATTTTGGACGTTTTAAAACAGATTTTAAAGGGAAAGGGAGGGATCATTAAAGATCACCGGAGTTGAGTTGTGTCTTCAGTAGAACGAGAGACACGAAGAAACGATGAAGCCAATAAATGAGAATGAGGTTGATAATTTTCATTTATCATGTGATTAGTTGATTAGTTGATTTATTGTTTATTGCGACAGGCCTAACTGAATATAATCGCTACATTCAAAGCACATTTCTCAGACGCTCCGTCTTATTTTAGTACCGGCAAACCGATGAGTGACAATATCGTAAGATCTTTGCATACTCAGCCAAACTAATAACCCACGCATACAAACAATAAAAAAATCAATATCATACAGGTAGCTGTAAAACCTCGTATACCGCAACATGTTTTTTGAGATTAGATGCTGACGTCTGTAAACTGCCGTCACCGTAGAGATCAAACAAAGTTGCGTCTGGACTCTGTCTCCTCTTCGCCCTCTGTACATGAAAAACTCCTCCAGGTACGGCCACGGGCACTCAGTCTTTACCTCGTCATTTTCTCTGTCGACAGTTTGTCCTCTGTCTCCATTTTGGCCTTTTCTCCAAATCTTCGGTCCATAATTGACTCTCTGCTCTACGGAGTTGTCTTTTGCTTACGTCATAGGTCATCGGTGCGTTCGTGCTCCGAGAGCCTTATCAGCTACAAAGATGCAGATGAACGTTTGAATATTAATTCAAATTGCAGCTGTACTCAGTAGTGACTTCTGATTTTAAAAGTAGTGAAGTAGATTACATGGTCTAAATTGTTCTTAAGTATGAGTAAAATTACACACTTGAAAGCAATGCCCATAAAAGTACAAGTATCCAAAAAAGCTTCTTACCGCTAATTACAGTAATGTGAGTATTTGTATTTCGTTACTTCCACCCGATTGGTTGTAGGTTGATGTCATTGCGTGCCACCTTGACCAGGTCGATCTCGGTCTACTTCCTGGTTAAATAAATGTAAAATAAGACAATAGTTTGTAGATAAAAAGAGACGAACGCTGTGATTTATGTAGATAAACTGTGTAGTGGGGTCTCGAACGGTCCACTGGACGAGACGTTCAATGAGACGTCAGGAGTTGGCTCTGCAGCGACTGTGTGGAAAAACAAACCTCCTCCAAACTGCTGCTAAAGTTAAACCAGCTCCGAGTCCGACCAGCCGACGGTTAAAAGGTGTTTCTGCTCGTGTGCAGGTGCACGTGTGCAGGTGTACATGTGCAGGTGCACGTGTGCAGGTGCACGTGTGCAGGTGTACATGTGCAGGTGTACGTGTGCAGGTGTACATGTGCATTTGTACGTGTGCAGGTGTACGTGTGCAGGTGTACGTGTGTACGTGTGCAGGTGTACGTGTGCAGGTGTACGTGT